TGATACAAGTCGAACCTCTTCTCAGCGTACCCCATTCACTACGTTTCCATCCCTATAGCGTTCACGTTTTCCATATTCCGATTTTGCTGACAGCAGACACCTTTACAACATACACTTGATTAGAACGACCAGATTTGTCCCGCCCACTCGTGAAAAGGCCTTCCTTGCAACGAACCGCAGGAAGCTAACTGCCGCCGCGACCTTGCTTACGAACAAAATGTACAGTGCGCGATCGACACACTTCCGGAGGAGGCACGGCGCACCTGGTCTGAAAACACGCCTGGTCAACGGAAGCAAATTTGGGCTGTCTGAGATGGCTGAAATGATTCTCTCACTTTCGAAAGGGGAAAGTCGACAATTTCGACAATCGTCCGTAACGGCGACAGAATCGTGACAAGAGTCGGAGGCCGACAGATGATCGTCAACGGCTTCGGGTTGCGGCACATCTTGAACCGGAGAAGGCCCTTTTCACTTGGAATAGGAAGGCTACAGTTGTTTGTCTTGTGTCTGATAAAATAATTTTTTTCTTCCTATCCGCGTATTTGAAATTGACATGTTTACACCGTGATCACATGTTCATGTTTTTACATCTACAAATGCTCACACTCTATTAAACGTCGTCGCTGGCGGCCATTTTATTGGAAAGGATTACAACGAACGAGCGTTCGAACGGACCGATTCGTGATGTCCCTCGGGGTGCGTTGTAACGAGGTTCGACTGTATTACCTCATGAATACGTATATGGCGGCGCTCTTGAGACAGAGTGGCTGCTTTTTTTTTTTTTAATTCTCATAACAACTTTTACCTTTCAAAAAAAGGACTTTGTTTTTGTACCACAATTCCTTTTTTTTTCTCTTCCCCCTTTTCCGTGTGGCCTTAATAGTCCTTTGTACTAATTAACAATGGTAGTTTTAATGCGAAGTGTTCCCAACCCCCCTCAAATTTTCAATTTGGCACGTTCGACCAGGCTGGAGAATGAAAGTGTGGTAATTAGTCCGCAGGGGACACAATAATGAGCCGGTCCAAAACCTTTAATTTCGCAGCCACGCCGTCATCGCCATCCGAAAACTTCATGTCTGACACAAAGAGAGACCTTTGTGCGATAATCCTGTGTTGTGTTCACACAATTTTCTAATCTGATTACAAGACTTTTCCTCCAAAAGAGGGGTTCATTTAAAAATAAATAAATAAATAAAGTATTTGCTCGTTTCTTTTTCCACGTCGCTCCGTTGTGCGGCTTGTACGTAGGGCAGGAAGACAGTCCGATAAGATAAAGCATTCATCAATATTCGATGAGGGAATTTGGCATCGGGCTGTATATATATGACACCCTATCATGGAGTTCAAAGGGCACCCTCCGTACTTTGACACCGGCAAGCGAAGGGTCTCGCTAATCTACTTACGAAGGCCGCCACCGCCGCGGCGTTAACGGGCCTAAACAAACATCTGGAGTTGCGCTGATATTTACACACGCCGACTCCCGAGTCAGGGTAAGACCCGCGCGGCCGGCTCACCAAGCCACACCGCCTTCCCGAACGTGAGTGACGTGCAAGAAGAAAAAAAACAAAAAAAAAAAAAAAAACAAAAATGGCGGTCAGCCATTTGTAAGTGATTGTGCATCTTTGATATCTTTGAATCCTCCACTCGGCAAAATAACGGAACACTCTGCTTTGACTCGATGGCAAGAGAATGTTTCAGCTCTTTTAATTAAAGGGTTCGGATGCACTCACCACCACCACCACTACCACCACCGGGTGCTACTCATATAAATACTGTCGTATATTTTTAACTAAATAGACCATTGTGTGTATATATTGTATCTGTGCAATGTAGGAGAGAAAAACTATGAAAATTCTGTATACTTGCTGAACGTATGGATAGGCACTTGATAGACGTATTCCCGATATCCCGCAAGGGAAAAATGCATTCAACTGTGTGGAGGTGGTGATTCTTTTATATACATTTATATATATATATTTATATATATAAATATCTTTTTGTCAGAAAGTTATCTGTTTCACACTGATGTGTGCACTGTAGAAGAGCGGATAAAAAGCTGTGACGTATACATTTGATTCTGAACTGTGACTTAATTCAAGCTCGAGTGACGAAAAAACCGATGGAGACAACCGGCAAGACGGACGCGACAATGAATCCCCTCACCATTCCCGTCCTTGTGTTTTTCACCTCAATGCAAAATCCCGTTCCTGTCGGCGTGCGGTTAACACGCCGCGAACCGCCGTTACTTGACCGCCCTCAACCCGCGCCGGGCGAAAGCGACATTATCGTATTTAAACGACACCAGCGGACTGCGTGATCGCCAGAACAACGAAGCAGGATGATCTAAAGGAGTATTGTGATTAAATGAAGACTCAAACGTACTGCTAGAAAGACAAAACGACGCACCGTCCACCCGGAATCTCTACGCTATGATAAATAAAACATGTCATGTGATTGGTGAACACAATACAAACAGCTGCAAGATTGGTATCTAGCATTTCAATAGGGTTTGTTCTGGAAAACAAGCCAACAATTTGCGCCCCCCCCCAACCCACTAAAAACAACAACAAATCAACAACAACAAAAAAAAAATCTCCCTTAGCTAAAACTACAAGAAAGGAGCAAAAGCAGCCTCTTTTCCAAAAGGGGCTGCAACTTTTCAAAACCATTTGTACACATTTTTCTTTCGCAACACCAAGAAAAGCTCGTGTGGCACCGCCACAAGAATCCGAAAAAAGCGGGAATCGAGAAGATACTGTCTAACTAACGGAGAGTGAAAAGGGAAGCTAATGCGCACCGGGGAGAAGAAGAACAAGAAGTCTGCGTTCCTTCCAATCTTATTATACAACTACTGACGATGGGATGAGTTAGTCGCCCTCGTCCGGAGAGATTTGTTATTCCAGAAAACCACCACCAGCACCACAACAACAACATAAAAATGATAGCGAGACACGCTTATAGTGTAATTCCGAAATGAAATATTTTCCAAAGCCAACGACAAGCTACTGAACCTACTATTTAGACCATTGATACCACAAAGCTGGCTGTACTCATCTAGCTACAGTCTATAGTGCATTAGATATATGTGTTTACACAAACTATGCAAAAAAAAAAAAAAAAAAGCGGGCCGCCGCAAAAGGAATGCGAAATCACTGAAATACGTAACGTACGTCACACGGAAACCTGTCTGCCTCTGCTCTTGAAAGATGACGTCGAGATTTGGCAGTGTTGGTGCTCGGCCGGCTGGCGACAAAACGCCGTGAGCCCAAAAAGTGTGGCGAGACAAAAAAAAAAAGAGAAGAAGAAGAAGAAGAACTCGGCAGTTTGCTTACATCGACTATTTAGTGCATTGTCTGTTAAGGCAAAGAGATGACCCTCCACGTGCTGTGTCGAGACAACAAGAGCACTAGCATGCAGCACGTTTTGCCATCCTGGCAGCGACAGCTACAACACCGGGACCGCACCATATATACATATAATAGGGGTGTGCGTGTGTGTGTTTTTAGGCTAAGAACGCGCACCATCACTGAGACGGGGGGTACATGTGAAAAAAATGTTCACATGTGGGGGGGAAGAGAAACCGCAGTATAGAATCTCAGTTGCGGTTGGACGAAATCTGCGAGTCCAAAAGTTTTCGGACTTCCGACTCATTTTTCCAAGGTGTGTTACGAGCCCGAACGGTGTGGCCCGAGGAGCTGCTCCTCGTCATGTACCTGCGCTGCATATTGCAAAGGAAGCCCTACAAGGTCAAGAGATTTCACTTCATCAACAGTTTGATTCGGCTAAAAGAGCACACGGACAAACGACACCCACGAAAGGAAGGAAAGGACACAAACGGTGCACGACCCACGGACACACTACAGTATTATCAAAGAAGCTGCATTCCATCACCTTTCCACGCCCACCCAAAAAAGTTGTACTAGGACACATTTTTATCATCTATGTTACACACGCACACTCATACGCACGATAATAAATGTATTATTATTATTATTATTATTCATAGTGTGATAATGGCTGTTATCATCACTAGCGCCAAGTCAGACAGAAGTTGCCGTGATTATTACTATCGCCGTTTCACTGTTTGGCTCTCAGGAAAATTCTGTCTTGAAAAGAAACACAATTGATTTATTGGGTTTCTAGGGAAGTGACTCCATAAAACTAAAAAAAAAAAGCACAGGTCATTTTTACACATTTAAATAAATGCTTGCATCAAAACGGCACAAGTACTGTACAAACAGTATATGGATTGATATACTGTAGGTCACTGCAAGCAATAACGAAAGCCAAGAACCGCTGGATTACTTTAAAATTTAATTAAACAAAGCTATGCTAACACGTGAACTCTATAACCAAATGTTAGATTATTCATTTTTTTATTGTTTGCTTAAAAAAATCCTCTTTTTCTAAAACTATACCTCTGTTGTTAGCAGTAGTGCACTTATTGGTTTAAGCAGTGCAACATATATGCGAGAAAATAACGCAGTCCACTTATCAAGATTTTTTTTTTTTTGAAGTGATTGTTTTTTTTTCTTTCCCGATTTTACAATTGAATAAAAGAAAATCATATTTCATTGAATGAATATGATTAAATACCAAGCACAGGCATTTTAAGAAAATGTGCAAAGTAGCACGTTTTGTGTGTGTGTGTTGATTTGATATCTGCTGTATTGTGAGCAACATCACGACAAAAGTTTTTTGCTCACACAAAGGATCAAAACCTTCAGTTGCACGTGTGTGTGTGTGTGTGTGTGTGTGTGTATTTTTAGACACACACACACACAGACACGATACAGTGTGTGTGTGCGTGTGTGTATATTGTGTATGTCGGGTGTCCCATTTAGGTGAAAATGTTAAAATCCAAATACGTGCTGTCATGACACATGAATGACATCTTACGCACACTAACTTCCAAATGTAATCTGTACACGTGTGTCCAAGCTTTTAGAAAAATTGGAATGTATACCATTTTTATATATATATATATATATATATATATATATATATATATATTTGCAATTATGTTGGAGATGTACTTCTCCAAATTTTCCTTTGAAAACGTCGCCGGCTATTTGGCAGTGACACATTGAGAGTGTGTTATGAAGCTCCCATCACTAAGACGGCTTTGCAAAAAGTCATGACCAGGTTGTATCCTCCAATCAGATGGTGATTATTTCAACAACAAATTGGGATTGTAATTGAATGTCTCTCTCCTTAACACTGTTCAAATCCACAGCCAACCTCAAGCCCCCCCCTCCCCTCCCCCCCAGATGCATAATAGAGTGAAAGGAAAATGAATAACCACGTAGGATAATCAATAACAACAATACCGGTAGTTTGAGAGACAAATCTCGTTTGAAAACCTCCAGCCCATAGGAGTCGGATGGAAGTGGAGGTGCAGCAAATACGGAGTAGAGAGAGCCTAGTCTCTTATTCCGAGCTGCTCTAACTGTAAATGGAAAAAGGCAGAGAAAGAAAATAGTATTAAAAAAGAAAAATATTTTTTAAAAAAATCACACTCATTTTATGATTGGCGCAGCCTTGACTAACAGTCTTTTAGGAGATTAGTGGCAGTGTATGCAAATGAGTCTTGAAAAACGTTTTTTGTTTGTGTTTTGTTATTTTTTTTCCGCTCCGTCTCATAAACACAGTCTAATTAAGTCAACGAAACCATTAAAAATGCATGGACAGTTACAAAACATACGAAATATTATTCCCGCAAATCTTTGATGGGAAGTGATTGAAATTTGTACCTTAACAACAGCGGCATCAAAATATCTCAATACCATAGGAATAAATAAAACCCAGTGTCAAGTTTACTACTTTCTTGCTTGTGTGTTGTTGTTGTTTTTTTTTAAATTGACTTTAGAAGGCAATCTTGTGACTGTTAGTATTTTAGAGGGAATGTGTAGCCCCACCCAGCTGATTTTTTTTTTTTTTGTTATTGTTGTTGTAAATTATACCACAGTAAGTTTGGACATCTAACGTTTCCAAACTGGTCAGTATGGGTTCACAACTGCCATTTTAAATGGCATTTCTCTCTCTCTCTTTCTCTCACACACACACACACACGCACGCACGCGCACACAGAGACACATGCAGATGCACACACGACGCACACTTATATTCGCTCAGATAGATCTACGCTAAAGGTGTGTTTGTGTGTATGTTTCTTTCGTAGGCCTTTCGGTAGTGTTCAACACATAAATCAGTATTTTAGGAAATCATACATTTAGAGGCCCGTAGTTCGGATCCATCCAGTAGATCAGTATCAAACTACTAAGCCTTAAGGCCACCATCTTTTTGTTTATTTAGAATAACAAAAAGGAAAATCTTTTTTTTTCTTTTTTTTTCCTTTTGGGAAACTTAATGTGCCAGTGTCTGTACTCGTTACTCTCCATACCTCAAAAAGAAGAAAAAGGAAAATCTAGTGCCATTTTGTTTGTCATTCTTTTGGAGAAGTTTATCTGGTTGTACTTATCCGTCGGAGACATGCATTCGCATGTGGTCGTTGAAGTGCTCCATTTGGTCGAACTTGACGGGGCAGACGGAACACATGTAGGTGGTCCCTTCTTGGCAGCTGGCCTCGGCCGCCACGCCCACTCCCGTCGGGACCCCGGGCCCTTCTCCCGCTCCTCCGCTCACGGGCATGGCCAGGGCCACCACCCCGGCGCCGGGCTCGGGGACGGCCATGGGCAGGGGGATGGGGATGGAGACGGGGATGGAAACGGGGCCGGGGTTGCCCGCGGGGCCCGTCAGCCCCGCGATGGCGCTGCCTGTGCTGTGCAAGGCCATGTGGCGCTCCAGCAGGGTCTTGTGGGAGAACTTCTTTTTGCAGATGACACACTCGTAGGACTTCTCGCCACGGTGCAGCCGCATGTGGACGTTGAGCGAGCTCTTCTGGGTGAAGCGCTTGTTGCAGATGCTGCACTGGTAGGCCCGCACCCCTGTGTGGGTCACCATGTGCTTGATTAAGTAATCCTTCAGGGAGAACGAGCGCCAGCAGATGCTGCACTGGTGAGGCTTTTCTCCTGCGTGGGCATGAAAGACAAACGGGAGATACGGTCATATCCTGAATGGTCCCAGAGAAGCATGAAAAAAAAATACATAGATTTTACCCGTATTTAACCATATTCTCATCAGCAGAGAGCGAGAGAGAGAGAGAGAGAGAGAGAGAGAGAGAGAGAGAGAAACTTGCGAATGTAAAAAAAAACGTTTTCCCTTTCCTTATCTGAGTCTGAAGCGCCTCCATCTGTTAATGGCATCAACAAACACATGACGAAGCCAACAGTGGTCATTTCCACAAATCTGCAGCACCGTGCATGTCGTCGGCACATGAAGCCAAACAGAAGGTGTCCAGTCGCCGTTTCATTAAGGAATATGAGCTCGTCAGCAAGCTGACAATTCAAAGTTAATGCTCCTGCTGACTTCATCTAGTGGACGCCTCAAGGCCACTGGTGAGGGAAGCATTAAAATTCGCTTTGTGTCTGGCTAGAGAGACATTTATGTCTAGACTTACTTTACCTAAATTGAAATGACGAGCATTCTCAATTTGACATGACTGGCTCCACTGATTCAAAGTCAAATGTTTTTTTTTTCTCCTCCATATTTGCCCAATATGTACAATAGCACGTACATAAAATAATCATAAATATGCTTCAATAATAGTCTAGGGTTGAATTTTCAAGAGATCGAAAGTGTCACGTGCGCTATTCTTGTGGCACCTTTTGAAAACTAACTAAAACAGCGGCAAAAAGTGACACAGTTAACATTTGGCCAATTTATATTTTCAATATTGTTATCATCGTAATTGCCGGAGTTCTTCTTTTAATCAATGACTCATAAATTCTGCAGCGGCCATGCGGATATTTGACGGCAACTCTTATCTCTGCTGGATTCAAATTGTAAATGATGAAGCTGTGCTCACAAGTTTGCACGCGTTTTCCACTTTAACAAGTAAGCACGTCTTGCTACGTTGGTTTGGTTGATGCACTTTGTCTCCGATTGTTTGGGGGGGTTCAAATGAAGCTCACCTATTGATGTAATCCATGTACTCATTTTATGGGAATGGCATTATTTCCAAACGATCACCTCAATACTCGGTCGCTGTGTTGTCCCTCTGCTCTACGAAGTACTATTTTGGTTTTGACATAACCACGGCCGATTATGGGGCCAAGTCCCGGATTCTCAAGCCGGACATCAAACGATAAGGCAAGAGTGTCTGCTTTTTATACTACACTTGTGTTTGGCAAAATGTGAACGCTGAAAGAAGGAGCGAGGCAAATAGCACTTACCGGTATGCACAAACATGTGTTTGACGTAGTTCTGTTTTGCGGTAAAGGTTTTACAGCAGAGAGTGCATGCATAGGGTTTCTTCTCCCCCTGGCCCATGGCCTGCTGCTGCTGGGATGGCGCCGGCGGCACGGCCATGGCGTTGGGGAACGATGGTATGGCAGGGGGCGGCACGGTCACAAACTGGGCCTGCTGCTGGCCGGAAAGGTAAATGAAAGACTTGCTGTCTCGGGTCGGCTGCGGGGGGAAGAGCGTGGGCAAGAAGGTGCTGCCGGCGCCCAACACTTGGGAATTGCTGGTCACGGTGTGCGGCATTCGGAGATTGCTGGTGTGTGACTCGACCTGCCGCAGGTAGTGCTGTGTGGCCAGGGATTGGGACATGATGGCGTTGGGCAGGGGGTGCATCAAGGAACTGTCACTAGTGCTGTGGCTCTGGTCGCCCTCATCGGGCTCCTGCGCTTGCTCCGGGGACGAGTCATTGACCTCGATCTGCACCGGGCCGCCTTCCCCGTGCTGGCCTTCGCCGCCGCCGGCCCCTCCCCGGTTAAAGCTCGGGTAGGGCTGCTGCTCCATGGCGTCTGGCTCAGTACTGATGGAGGAGCTGACACCCGAGTCGAAACTTTCCACCTTGGACTCGCTCACCGCGCCCTCGGTGTGGTCGTTCTCCACCTGGCAGTCCCCCGCGTTGTCAAAGCAGCCGTACTCGTCTTCGGCCTCCTGCTTGATGTGCATCCCGCCTGTTTGTAGGCGTACCGGTCGGGACTGCTTGCGACAGTGCGTCGACTCGGCCGTGGAGATGAAGCGGTCCACCTGCTGGGATCGATCCTGGATGCGGTTCATCCAGGGGGGATCCTGCGACTGCTGGTCTTTCTGAGCGCCGGCACTCGGGTCGTAGTTGGTCGCCATGGGGTTGATGTAAAGGGAGCGCTCACGGGTGCCGTTGGAGAGGCCCGAGTAAGTGTAGAGCGACGTGTAGGCGCGATCCATGTTCTGCTGGGACGACGTTTGCATACAGCCCGACTCGGCGTCGCTGCTCGGCCCGGATGTGGCCGACTCGGGCGTGCCGCGGGGGGTGTCCTGACCGGAATCTCCCGGTATGACGGGGAAGGCCCCCGGGCCCGCCAGGCCCACATTCTGGGACACGATGCGAGTGCACTCATCGATGACGGTCTTGATCTGCAAGATGCTGGCGGCGGTTAGGATCTGCAGGGCCTCCGACTGAGACACTCGAAGAATCCCGCTGTACATAAAGTCAATCAACTTTTGGATGGATTGCACCGAGACCACAGAGGGGATCTCGATGTCGCTGTAGCCCAAAAGCAGCTTGTCCTGAAAGAAGGGGCTTCCAGCGGCCAGCACGCAGCGGTGAGCTCGCAGCATACTTCCATGGATCCGAACAGTCACATCACAGAAGTGCCCACGGTTGCGCTGCTCATTGAGGGTCTCAAGTACAGAATTGCTGAAGTTGTGGAGATTGATGTTATGAATGCGCTCGGTCATCCCCTTGCAACTGATGTGACCTGAAAACGGGGCAGCGACACACCTCATTTAGAGAGACGCTGCATTATTCAGCCGCGTTTGGTACACTGCACTTGATACTGGAATTGCTAATTGCAATAAGAAGCGGTCTTCGGTGCCATTCTCACGCGCTGGGGGGGGGGAACTGAGCGATAAAATGTAAGCTTTGTTGTAACACAAGCGAGAAAACAAGTCAAGCATTTTTTTGGGTACCTTAAAATGACTATGGCTTAAAAAAATACGAAAATTATCAAGTATTCATTCATTGGATGTCCTCCGTTGCATATGAAATTGTGTTTTTGTACACTGCAATAGAATTTTAAAAGGAGTGTCATTAGATGACATGAGGATTGTGCATAGCACTTCAAATATTTGTTTGGACCATACCAGAGCAGTAACTCTTTTCTTATGTGAATGCACCACTCAAAACTGCAACCGTAACATTTACAACTCTTTTTGTAAAAACAGATGTTTGAATACAGTTCAGATCTAACTACACTGAAAATGTATCGTAATATTATTAACGTTAATAATAATAATGGTAGTGTACATTTGTCTTAACCTTACAATGTATTGAAGATTATTTTGTGTGTGTGTGAGAGAGAGAGAGAGAGAGAGAGAGAGAGAGAGAGAGAGAGAGAGAGAGAGAGAGAGAGAGAGAGAGAGAGAGAGAGAGCGAGGCTCCTTTAATCGCCAGTGGGTGGCGCACAGGGCTCAGAGGACAAGCGGACTCTTTTGTTGGTCATGTGCTCACTATGATGGCGCGTCCAAACTCAAGACACACTGGCTGTGCCGCCGTAGAAAATGTGTGCTTAGATTCATCTTGAAGCGTTTTATATTTTTCATTTTTTTCCTCCAAAGTTTTGCTTCAAAATAAAAAGGTAATCTTAGTTTTAAATTACAAGTGAATTACTTCAAATGTGTTCATTCACACAACTTCATATACACGCTGTATCTTTAATTTATGATCACCTGGGAAGCTGAAGGATATTTCAGACAACACGTCCTTCAAAAAATAAAATAAAATAAAATGCATCATTGAAACCGCAAACAAGGGCCATGATTGTATGAGCGCAAATTTATATTAAAAGGTACTTCGCTCACACTGTGAACAAAGGGTAAAGATGACTACAAAATATTTTTTGAGTAAATTAGACGGAAAAACAAAGCATCACCACAGAGAGGTGGTGGAAATAGCTTTTGAGAAACGCTTCAAAATTCCACTTGCGCATTTGGGGCATGATAGATGTGAAATTAACAGTCAGTGTAAAAGCATATAATCATCAATGAATAGTCCTAATAATCCAAAATCCTGAGCCAAATGAGTTGATAGTATCGAGCATAATCAAGAGTATTTTGCCGTCAAATAGTGAAAACTAGAAACGGAACTCACAGTTAGATGACGTGCGGCTGGTGAAGAAGTGCAGGTCAAGCTTCAGTTTGCTGGTGGAGATGGCTGAACAGAGGCCGGGCGCTAGGCAAGGCTGTCAGTCCTCTCTTCCCAAATCATGTGTTGCTCTGCCAAAGTGTTTGCAGGGGAGAGAAGAAGGGGAGAAAAAAAAAAAAAAAAGACAAAGACAAATCTTTAGATCACATCGATATTGCCACTCCCTTGATGGACCCGAAGCAACACGAATGTCTACCTCCGACATGCTGCAACAGATGTGTGAAGAGTTTTCAATGCCAAATGCTAAAACAAAAACACAAAATAAAGATGGACCGTCCTGCGTGCAATTCAGCAACAAGGGTGAAAATTATATTGGAGATAGCGAGTCTCTCAGCAGTTATCTGAGTCACTGGGCAACAAAACCACACCCTTAAAAAAAAAAAAAAAAAAAAAAAAAACACTCTTTTTACACCAAAATTAATAACACACACA